GGGGTAAATCTAAACCTTATTCTGAAGTCTTCAAAATCAGATGATGCTTGAAGTGATAAGATCTGGAATTTTCTGGAAATGCTTAGGAGTGAAGATTCTGAAGTGGAGCAAAGCCAAAAGTCCAGAATACAATGTGCAAGGCGTGCAGAATCACTGATCGCCTTCCTGCTTGGAAGATCAGTGGAAACAAATCTAAAGGCTCTCTTGCTTTTCAGAGTGATCTTCGGTGTTTGCTAAGATATCCTAAAAAACATCTGTTGCCTACAAGTACTGGTTGGTTCCTCAACCTGGTTGACTCCTCTAGTTGTAAGTGTTTAATGACGCTGTTGCAGCGTAGAGGTGATTCACAACTACTTTGTCTGTTTAGATGCACTGGTTCTTCCGCAGTTTACCGTATGCACTTTGATCACTGTACCTGCAAGTTTTAAGTGGAGTTGTACGAAGGATATGGGATGAGAGAGTGGTGAAAAAGGTAGTGGTATAAACAGATGATACAAGTTCTTGAAGTGCAGATTTTGGATTATCAAGCATGATGTGCCAGTGAAGATGAAGACAGGACAAACAAAGAATAGCTTGTGAGCCTTGGGGCTCCTGCAGAAGGGAATGGGATTTCTTATGGTACTTCTTATGTGAATTAGAGAGTTTACGACTAGAACATGAAGAGGAGATTCATAGCAGTTTAATTTGGATGAAATCCTTAAGAGTTTGTGGATGATGGCCAAAGATTAATCTTTTGAGGCATGCGAATGATTTCTGAAGGCCTTTTAAGGAGCAAAAGACCCTAATGTGTGACACTCGGAAGACTTGTTCGGAAAAGTTGTGGTGCTTCTATATTAAATAGATGTGAACTGAAGAAATCGCCATTCTCCAATAGATTCTGTTTTAAACAGTGAAGTTTCCTTTTAGCTCTCTTTTTTAATATTACATTGAAGTCTTAAAGAATGAGTGGTTAATAGTTCTGGAAAGGTTGTTGGTATTCTTAGGTATTTTAGATTACAGGAACCAGAGCAGCATGCATGACAAATCTTAGCTAGTTATTTTTGTTCTGTGGAGTATTGAGTTCAATGAATTTTAATTTGGAAAAAGTGGGAATACATAAGTGGTCTTCAGCGTGTGGGTGTGAACATGTGCAAGTGTAATACGAAAGTGTCTCTTGACAACATTGTCTCCTGAGTTAGTGGGATACATCTGTGTAGCTTCAACAGCTTGTCAGATTGTATTGCCAAAACTTCATTCAATATGTACGACCTCTGTTAAAGGTACTCTTGCTACATGCATAAGAGCTAGGATGCATAATATGTAGAAAAAACTCCATTAAATCTGTCCTACAAACTGTCAAAACAATCAAGCCCTTGACATTAATGCAGTAAAATTTATTTTGCTTTAAGGCTTGGTCCTCGATTACTAACAAACTTTTGGTGTTCTAAAATCTGTTTCAAAATTAGCATTTGGAATTAGAACTGAAAGTTTCTGCTTTGAGACGTGCATATAAACAAGCACCGTGTTTCTTAGTTTGCTGCAGCATCTTCTGAATTGCTTGCTTGGAAATGTCCATTTCTAATAGATGCTCTGCTTCGTCTGTATGGTTTGACACAGGCGAATAAGTTCTAAAGAAAGGTGCTGGTTGTGCTATTTTAACTTTTTTTTCATATGTGAAGGAAAAGGTTGTCAAAATTCTTGATAAAGCCTTTGTTGGTTGCTAAATTTAAATCTAAAAATTTTTTAAACTCAAGATGAACCAAGTTTTTCTGAGCGGTAGAGCTAGGAAGATCAAGAAGTTGTCTGAACATTCCAAAATCATCATCTTTATACGGAACATATCAAGGAGTCTTATGATACCTAAACTGTTTTTCTGCTTGTCCTTCCTCAACTGCAAAATACCTTTTATCCTTAAGTGTGGTGGTATGACAGAGGAAGAGTTAAAGTGAAGCTGCCAGAAGTGTTTCAGTGAATAGCTTGTTGAAATCTCGTCTAGATGAGTGCCTTGGATGGTGTTCCTAAGCCTGGCCTTGGGCTCGGCTTTTGTCACAACCAACCACTGTGAACGTGTGTAAGTGAATGGTAGTACAGAAAAATAAGATGATGCCTTCTCTTTGGTTTCCCAGGCAAAAAGACTGGGATCTTAAAAAGCCGCTAGTTCATACACAATTTACAGCTAATGGTGAGACTGTAGGATATATATGTTTCTTTTTTTTTCTGAAGGTGGTCATATGAGCATCCCATTACTTTAGCATCCAGATGCTTATGTGCGTATGGCCTGTACGTCCCAGAGGTTCAGAGGGCTTAAAGGTGGAGGCTGATGAGGAGAAAAAGGGACAATATGAGAGGGGGTGTATGGACCCAAGTTTTAAGGGCAGAGTATTGTGGGGAAGGTTGGGCCATGCCTCTCCCGTTCTTACAGCGTGGAAGTGTGGAAACAAAAAATGAGGATATGGGTTATTTCCGAAGTAGGCAGGCAAAGGAGGGAAGCGACTTCTGAACGGCTTTGCTGTACCTGTGGTAAATCGTGGCCGTTGACCTATTTGCATGTCATAGTTCACATTTTATATGGTTTAGCCAAGTAAATGTCAAGTACTTAATTTCTTAGATACTGTTTAAAATAGACTTGAATTTACAAATACAGTTAGCTGCATTAGTGTATGATTGGACTGGGTAATAGCAGAGTAATAATCACTATTGCACTTTGAGAATTTTGTTTGTGTTGCTGTGCAGACATTTGTACAGTGCGCTGCTCTGTCTCTTGAAGGTCGGCCTGAAGGTAGGTTGCCTTGAACTCTAGCTTGATACCTGACTCCCTGTCCAAGCTGCGTGGTTGTGCTGGGAAGTGAAGAAGCCGGCTTCTGTTGGCAAGTGGTTCCGCAGGTGCTGGAGCTGGACTGGCTGGAAGACACCATCTGTGAAAGACAGTTTAAATGGAAAAATTGTTTTAATGTCAGGTTGCAAATGTCATCCTTGGTTATCTCCCTGGGCTGTTTTCAAGGAGCGGTGGGGTGGTTTGCTATTTCTTCTGTTGATTTTTTTGTTCTTCTTCCTTGCAAAGATCAGAGTTCTATGTTGTAACTTTTTTGTACTAGAGACTGTAAAAACTGAGAATAGAAAATTGTGATTCCTACCAAAAAACTTTTGATCTGAAGTACCTTGTGAGCCAACAGATGGATAGACACTGGTTAAGAAGGTAAGAAAGCCAGCTGGCTGTCATGACAGGCAAGAATTGCATAGTGTGCTATAGCAAACAAGGGTTACCTAGTCTATCTTCTCTGCCCTATGGCAAAATCACCTATGTCATGTCATATCTGACAGATCTTTGGCTTAAATTCCCTTAAAATTTCCCCAGGTTGAGGGCTGTAATGAGTCTTCTGGTACTCTACATGGTGTTATCCTTATTCCAGAGTCTTTTTTTCCTGATGTCTTACCCATGCGTGTCAAGCTGTGATTTTGGTATATCGTCACTTTGAACCTTCCTTACTGTTAACAGATTGTCCTCTATATTCAGAGGCTACTCTGTTACACTGCTCAGGTAAGCGTGTACATGAAGAAGGCTTGCAATCAGAGTTAATGAGCACAAAACCTTCTCTGTTTTGTGCTAAGAGGTGTTAGTGCTGTCAAGGTTCTAGCACGGTTCCTGATGTTTTGTGCAGCTTTGGGAACTTCCAGCGGTGCGGGACATGGCAGGTAGATGCGCTGTGCACTGATGATGGCTGCCAGTAAGCCGCATGCTTTCCACGAAAGTCAGGTTTTGGCTGCCATGTGCAATGCTGGTGTTGGTTGGCATTGGGTTCATCAGACTTTGGACCATTTGTGAAGGCACGAAGAGTCTGTTACGTTGGCTGACTACTTCGTAGTCATTAACGCTGCTGCAGGCTGAAGTTGCCTTTTGTTGCTAGGATATTGTAGTAATTATTACACAGTTAGATTGAGATATGCATGTTCAATATGTTGTAACAGTAGCCTGCCTGTAGTTGTTGGAAAAAATCAGTAGTATCTTCAGGTTTTGCTGTGGGTTGGCAAATAGCTCTGTGGAGCTTCTGTCAGGGTGAGGCTGAAATTTCTTAGCCGTGGGTGCTGGATGTATATCGTGCTATTTGCTTGGGTGATGTTACCCAGAGAGGGGACGTTACCATTACTGTCTCATCAGGATTTTGTCAGGTACCTGCTTTCTATCATCCTACAACAAGGAAGAGAAATGCATCTCTTACTGTTGTTCTTGCAATTCCAGGAAGATCCTTCAGGCCCAGTATCGTATGCATTTCAGTGGTACTGTCAGAGGGCCCATTTCTCACCTGTTCAGCTTCATTTCTGACAGTTTACTTGGCACTACGATAAGCTCAGGGTCAAGGTCCTAGACTTGCCTTTTCAAAATGGTACTGGGAAAATTTCACTAACGTTTTCAGAGACTTAGCCCTCTGCTCGGTGGCAGTTGTAAGCAACGATGAGGTATGGCGTCCACAGTGCCGGTTACAGTGGATGCCGTGGCTCCAGTCCTCATAAAGATCCTTATAAAGGAAGATCCTTAGGGAAGACCTCCTGATCCCTTGAAAGGCTGAGGCCTTTCAGCTTTGTAAAGGTTCTGTGCTGTTGAAGCTTCCCTCTGAGGGTGACGGAGCACTGGAACAGGCTGCCCAGGGAGGTTGTGGAGTCTCCTTCTCTGGAGATATTCAAGATTGGACTAGATGACCCACAGAGGTCCCTTCCAACCCCTACTATTCTGTGATTCTGTGATTCTCTGTTACTGGTGTAGATCTGGTGGTCTGAAAACGTAAGTGAGATTAGCAGTGAAAGGAAGAGTTTATCCTGTTTTCTAATAGAAATGTTGTTTTAAAAAATCCCAATTTGTACTTCTGCACGCTGGCTAGTTCGATTGCCCAGTGCTTTACCGGGTGGTCAGTAGTAGCCTATAACTTAATATGGCTGGTGTTAAATTCAACAGTTGCACAGAAATGAAAAACAAATGCAAATGGTGGCTGCAAACCCATGGTAAACCTAAGCAGCTGCTTTGTCCCATGGCGTGTATAGAGGAGAGTTTGTTGGCGTCGGCCGTTAAATTCAGCTGTGCTGCGGGCACAGGTAAGGCAGTGTCTGTGCGGCGGGTGGGGAGCTGGTGCTGGTGACTGCAGTTGGATAGATCCACTCCTTGGAGAAGTGCCTAAAACCTGCTAGTCCTGATGTTTCTGTCTTGCAGAAAGGTAGTTGAAGTTGGACACTTCAGTGATATTCAGCGTCAAGAAAGAACTGGCTGGTAGTTGGGAGTTCATTCCCTGGTGTTGAGATGAAAACCTTGAAGATGGAAAAAGGGAGCGTGTGGAATGCATGAAAGCAAGACATACGTGTTCTTATTCTAAAGACACGGAATTTTAAAATTAATTTAACGATGAATCAATGAGAGTTACTGAAAGTATCTTGCAAAGACATTTCGTGTTGTACGATGATCCAAGGAACGGTCAAGTTTTTTCAGATACCTAATTAGCTGCCTGAAGTGTGTGCAGAGGGGGAGAGGGCTTGGCTTCTACCCAGCAGTACGACTTGAATTTTGCCTCTTCGGGGAGAAATCGGTACAAAGTTCAGGCTCTTTCTCTCTAAGCGTATCATAAACTGAACCATTAGGGTCTGATCTTTAAGCTTAATAAGCTTCCCTTCAGAAGTCCAGTATATCAAGTAGTACTGCCTAACTTTTAGTTTAGAAATGCATTTGCTAATTAGGCTAGCAGACATGCCTGATAGGTCAAGTCTGAATTTCTGCTGCCACCTGAGCTATTTCAGGCATGATTCTGTGGGGAGGGAGGTGGGAAGGCGCTGCAGGGATGCACAGTTTCTGCAGGAAGGCTGTAGGGAATACAGGGAATGGTATTTATCTGAGCAAACACTGGCTGACTGGGATGTGAATGCCTGAATTCTGCTTGTAGTTAGGAGAGCCCAGGATGCAGTTCTCCTGAGCTGTTTAAAGCATCTTGGGTGCAGCCATCTGTGCATGTATACCATGGCCAGGTGAGCTGTATGCCACAGAAGTTTTCTGGATTTTTTTTTTTAAGCCTTGTAACAGCTTTTTCGTCTTTGACAAGTAATAGTAAACACACGGAATTAAAATTGGTTTACCTCATTAAAAGGGGAATATCAAGCAAAATGTGGCACTCTGTTTTTCTGCCAGCGAGAGTAACGAGCAGAGGTAACTGGATGGTGCGCTAAAATAGCTAAAACATTTATTCTGACAGTACTTCGATGAGGTTACTGACTTAAAAGGAGACAAAATGGACACATGGAAGTGGCAGCTGTCCT